TAACATATGCCAAGAAACAATATATCTGTCCAATTATATAGATAACAAAAACTCTAGATGGAATCTATGCATGAAAAAATATGGATTTCTTTTAATCTTAATGTACTGTGTTTGTCAATAAATAAGTGAAATATTTGCGTAGTACAAGCCTACTACATATGTTAACAATTCTGAAATAACAACACAAATAGTGGATTAATCTGGTCATATCTCAAGAAACCCAAATGGTTTAATACTGAAGATCCCGAGATATGCACTCATGTAAACAGGCATGCTAGCGTCATTTGGTGGAAAACTACACCACAACATTCATGCCTACTATATTTGTTTTAAAACTAAATATTTATAACCAATAACCTTTTGAAATGTGTTCCCAAGACCTTCCAATATTCACTTTGAGAAATTCTATGATGACGAAATTTGACTCTTGTAAGGCAAGATAAAGGACAAGACCTGTGTAAACCACACGTTTTCACATATCGGAACCGGGCGTCAAAAGTCAACTTGTTGACTGTCATAACGCTGAAGCGCAGTGATTAATCAACATGGAATTATTTTAACATTCAGATGGAATATAAATATAATGTGGCATCAGTTGATGTGGAATTTCCCCTTTTGCACGACAATTGGGCCAACAAGGTGTTCTCCGCCTTTTAGTTTTCTTCTGACATTGCTAGAGATGGAGATTTGTGCTGGAGTGTCAGCTTTTTGATCTCGCGGATTTAGGGGCCGTTCGCTGGTAATTAATACATTTATTTCGACTGTATGTGCACGTTAGGTAAAATCCCTCTTCTTTAAAGCCATAGCATTAATTCATTCAGAACTCTCACTTTTTAAGTATTAATCTCTGTCAGAATAGAACAGCGGTGAATCCATCGGTTATTGACCTGAAATTTAAATTGCTGACCTATGCGTAATGGCAGCATCACCCCAAGGCAAACGGAACGCGTGCAATCTGTCTAGCGAGGACTATCTCACATAGAACTGGGAAGGAGCTGATTTTACTACCTACACTTTTGTCAATAAAATAAACACAATTTAGCAAACTCATTATTTACCTTACATTTGTTTGCCGAAAAATTATGCATTGCAGTCATTTTAATTTTATAAAGTAACTTTTGAGCCAATCATCTTTACGCGAGGACTTGTGTGTGCTGCGAAGGCCTTAGAAGTCGCTATATAACAAAAATGATTACAATATATGAAATTTGGATTTTTAGAAAACAAAATATTGCAAATTATACCTCTACTTGGGTCAGTCGTACAACTGAGCGTTTTGAAGTTGCAAACCTTGTTCTTTTGGTAGTAAGATAAACATGGTCCAGTGTCTGAACTGATCAATGGAGTAATCTAAGGAACTTTTATCTCTCGATTTGCATTTTTAATTTCCTTAGGCTATTTATTTTTCAACATTACTTTTGTGTCAGCCATCTGTAGATTGATTTAATCCTAAGATCTTGTTACGGTGAGGAAAGCCTCTTGGCCTCTTGCTATGGAAGCACATCTTTCATACATCAAGACTTTGATACTAAAAATTCAGCCATACCTGCTACACAGTGCATGTTTTCTCGATATAATATAATTATTTCATCTTGATGTCTTAATGCACAAGGACTACTGAACATCATAAATTGTTAATAACATACACATATTGCAAATTATAAACATATTCTGCTTTCTGTAAAGAAAATGGTGAAAGTTTTTTTTTGTTGTATGCTTTACATGAACTAGTGCATTTTCCATAAGAAAGACTTCTGATTATCACTTTGAGAATTATTACAAATATCTTATCACTGCAGCCAACAGATATCAATAACATTATGACCAAGAAATCTCATCTGCCATTTCGTCACTTGCATGATCTAGTAGTAACCATGGCCACTTGTTACGCAAGAATAAGATCTCACAGTTTTTGTTTCCAAATTTTTTATATGTTCTTTATGCTTTAATTAGTTGTGATAATTAGGTTACACAGAAAACAGAACATAAGCGATAAACATAATCCATATTAATCGAGTACCCTTCCTCTACCCCAAAACACGATTACGGTTTTGAATATATTACATACACTTTTATATGCACCAACTAAATATATTTAGCTTTATTATATAAATGAAATTCCAAACGAATTGAAATTTATACCTGTTTGAGTTATTACGTCTAAGAAAGATCAACGCGCCGATGTAAAGAAAACAGTGCAATAATTCCAATCTGGGTATTTGATACGGAAATACGAACTTAACATATGCATCAAACACCAGATTATGGAAATAAAATTAAATAGTTATATAATAAGATAATTAAATTTAATGTGACGCAATTCAATGCAATATTATTCAGCTGTAGAGATGAGAATGAAGCTTAAAGAACCTGCAAACCTATCATATTGACCTCCGCTTCGCAAAAGTCTATGTGAAGTTAACTGGTTCATACATCCTTTTCTTAAAAAGGTATATAACTGTTTATTATATGACTCGGAGAACAAATACTAAATAATTATTTGATGTTTCATAAACATGCGACATCAAAAATGGTAACGCAATATGAATTATTATTACATATCGCGTGACATTGTGCCATCCAATGAAAAACCATCTCTCCGTGAAATCGTATAATAAAACATAATACGATGCAAGACTGATGAATACCACTTTTAATAAAGATTCTTCGAAAATTCATTAAATAATATGTTGTCGTGTTGAAATATTGACTAGATTTTCTTATTTTCAGTGTTTATGTGTCGGTATCATGTGGATGTGCTACACACAAGTACTTACTCTAGAGCAGTCACGATCATACTTGGTAAGAAGGTTGCTTTGATACATGTTTGTGGCCGTTGAGCTTTTTGTGTTATTAAATGCATGTACGCATGTCCATGTTTCTGTTAATTTATTACCACACATTAAACGTCATTAAATTTTTCGTGAAAGTAGAAAAATGTCCGCCTAATCTTGACCGTGGGATTACTAATTTTGAAGTTTCATTTTAATCATGATCTGTTCGCACGTTCTGATATAACTGACAGTCTTAGCATTTATATGAAAACAGTTGGAAAGACATGGGAAGTGAACCTTTATCAGTATGGGATTAAAAGAATAACCTGATTATACAAATCATTGGTACTATTCTATGCCTGCATGTATAATGTATTAGGCACACGCACAAACACATGCACAGTGATATGAAACATTTCTTTCCATTTCAGATGCGGGTAATTTTGCTATTAAATACATTAGCTTTTCTGCTGGTGATCCCTGGTGCAGTGTTATCAGGGAATGTCATCAAATATGGTTGCCGTGCTGACGCATATAATCAATGCAACTTTGACCTCAATAAGGAAAAGAACTACAGTCTGGTCGTGACATCCATGGTATTGTTTTGTGTGATGCTGCTTCCTTTATTTTTCTTCTGCGCTCTATTCTTTGTTGTGATCATAGCTTACATTGCGGATTATTGCTCCTCATCCTCTGATGCAGACCAAAGAAACGAAGGGGCCGCATCCGGAAGACAGAGATCACGTGGTCAAGATCAACGAGGAACTGTTATACACGAACTCGTACGTTCAGCCGATTACAACAGTGCGACGCATTATGGACGACCGCCCCCTGCATACAACACTATTGTTGCTGTTGAGAATCCCGTGCCCCTACACGAAAGGCAAAGAACTATATTTAGCCCGCCACCAACTTACAGCTCTCTCGGTTTTGTGAATCACATATAGAATGCCAGTTTTGTTGCTGTAGGCGGCAATTGCACAGTTGGTATTGATGCTGTAAAGCTGTTATCGCTTCTTTAAATTTTTGGGAAAGTAAGCTACTATAAGAAAATTATGCCGAGCCAACAGTCTTCACGAAACAATTAAAGTATACAAAGAAAGGTTAAAAAAAAACATGATAACATCACCAACCTTTGTTTTCTTCGTCATTGTTACAATCTCTACCTCTGTTGTCGTCATCTTCACAATCGCCGTCGCCACCCCAATAATTGGCAACTGGTTTTTAGGTTACAAAAATAACACATGTAAAGCCTGTTTTGAAAGATTCTGTTTCACACACAAAAAACATAACTTATGCATGTGTGTATTTCTAAGAAGTCTTGCAAGTGGTAGGTATTTTTGTTCATCTACACCCTTCCTTGGACAAGTGACATTCCACAGGTGCAAACAAAGGATTTTTCGTTATACTGCCCAGCTCTCACGTTTTTAAGTCTGCATTTTAGCAGTCTAATAGAAAAAGTTGAAACAAAAATTGATTCCGAGTTGCAGGGCTTTTATAGGAGAAAATTTATTCTAATTTACATCGCTATTTTTCTAAACACGCGTGATTAGAATCATGAAAGAATTAATGCATTCATGGGATTCAAAATTTCCAGCCTGTGAATTATGTTGGTAATTTTCGCCATGACGTTACTGAGAAGCACAAATGTTATTCAAAATTGGGGATGTTTCAAAAGAAATGTGTAACACTCGATAAATTCCTAATTTACCTTTGCATTTACCTTTATTTATACGAGGTCGTTTTTTGGGTGGGTGGGTGGAGTTAGTTGGATGAGGGTCAGTTTTAGGCATTGTAAGTTAGCACGTGATGGTTCTTGAAACACGCATGATTTAGTGATTATTTCTAAGTGTTGGGATACACAGTATTTCGAACCGAATGTTGATACTTCCAGGTGTATTTGTTATAAATATGTGAGGTACACTGTGAATCAAAATTGAATGAAGACCTGATCTAAACTAAATCAATTTATCGAACAGGGCACCCAATCAGTGAATCAATCAGTCAGATCGTTTTAATATAAATTTATATGATCCTTCATGAAGTTAAATAAATAAAAATTGCAATGTTCTCGTTTCTGTCTTCAAATGGTCGAGTTTCATCTACAAAACATTTGATCGTAGGTAGCGCATAGTGTTTTTTTTTTTAGTCTCGTTGCATAGCAACAGAAAAGCTATCCCCGTCTTCACTAGTCAGTGGTCGTCGATCCATTTCTTTTATCGTCGAGACCGCTCAGGTTGCCTAGTGGCTAGAGCGTTCGCCTCGGATGCGGAAGGTCGTGGGTTTTATCCCCGGCCGAGTCATATCAAAGACTTATAAAAATGACTAATAACAACCTAGGTTGGCGCTCAACATTAAGAGGTAAATGTTAGGTCTGATTGGCCTGGTGTCAAGATAATGTGAGTGTGTAGGACATCATGCTACATGTCTGCGGCATGATGCCCCAGTGCTAGACATCACTATAAACTGCCACACTGCAGACATCGTAGCGCTATGACTGAAAAAATTGTTAAAGCTACGTTAAAAATCCAAATCACACACACACACACACACACACACACACACACACACACACACACACACATATGTGGATGTGGATAATGACTTAGCTCAGCAGAATCACACAAGAGTTGACGAGAGTCACGATCATTTTAGTTGAATAAATACACTAAACAGGTTTCACATCCATTGTTCGCAATCTCTGCACATCTCGATCTTTCGAGAAAAAAAATATATCGCGAGCGTTTATTGTGAGATCCATTCGTCTCATGACCATGGCTCCGAATAAGAGCTTTTGGAAATACACTATCGAAGCAAAAATTTATGAAGGTAGAACCTGTTAAATGTTTTATCAACGCTGCAAAATCCGTTTCCTTATTATTTATATATTTTGTCACTGCGTATGTTAGCATTGTTCACGAGAGACGAGGAATATGATGGAAAATATATGATTTTATAGTCTGCTTAAAATATTAATAAAAATTTACATAAAAGAAGTTATAACATTATATCTTTCTTTATTAATAAATACTTTTCCAGCCTATGAATTATGTTGGTAATTTTCTCCACGACATTACTGAGAAGCCACTTGTATATTTACATGTTATACCAGCTGAGAGGCATAACAGATGTGCACAAACACGAGACCAAATCCAGTCAGACTCTTTATGACACAGAGAGTACTTACAAATATCAGACAAAATTCACTTTTCGTAATAATGCTTTATGACACAAAGTATGACACGAGACTTATGAAAGTTGCTTATGATGGCTGTTGTACAAAGTACATTTATGCGATTTACAATGTAAAGTTTGTGTGTGTGTGTGTGTGAGTGTGTGTGGAGAGAGAGACTCTAAATACTGATGAGAGAAACCAACATTCATGATATTTTCTCTAATGAGAGACGAAACCGATAGTTCACGCAGATCGCTCCCCCTCCCGACTTGTACAAAGTATGAATGAAACAACATTATGTTTAATAATAGTCAAGTTAATCGGTGTCATATTTAGACGAATCCACTCTCATGAATGTTTCATCTCTCACTCACTAAATTTTAAGTTTGAAACATGCTTCATTCTTGGACAGATATTATGGTGTTAGTCTCGTCCAGGTACGTTGTTTAAAATGACGACTCGTGTTATGTATATTTAATTTGCATTGTATGTTAGTTCTTTTTTTAATTGTTCTTTTTATATGATATGCTATGGATAAATAAATTTTAGGCAGGACCTTGTCTAAACTTAAGCTAATTTTCTACTTGACATGAATAATATATTTTGTTTTTAAAAAAATATTCTGTAAACAACTATTAGATTGCTATTTTTTTCCCCAGAGTATGGGTTAACTATTAGGATTATTATCCTTGCCTGAGTCAAGGACATTGTGTTTACCATATCATTTATTATCACTGTTGTAGTAGCCTTCTAATTATAATTAAGATTTTATCTTGTAAACATTTTATAACTTTGCAGAATGAAATTTTCCATTTGGTAATAGGTTTTTAGTTTGTTTTAAACTGTTAATTGTGACCTGAGTTCAAATAGAGGACTGTTTTTTTTGTTTGTTTTTTTTTTTCTAGAAATTATTCATTCGTGATTTAAGATCTGAGCAGAATCAGTTGTGTTGTTACTATGTCAAGTAATTTAATTGGACCTAAATTTATCCAATTGTTTATTCACTGGAAATATAAAATACTAAAACTAACATTCTTAGAAATAGAGACCGTTGGCACAAGACCAGGACACAGGTCACTACAGGAATACACATCAAAACTACCAGCGTAGGATTTATTTTGGAATATGACAAAAGTAAAGTATAATGGGAACTTTAATCATTAGGACATGTATCAGAAATGTTCAATTTTTTTTTGGATTTAATTTACAATACCATAAATTATTTTTATATTTTCATTTTGTATTCATGGGAAATAAATTATTCGTTAAATTTTACAAAGCCTGTTGCTTCTCACTCGTTTCTATTACACATTTTAAAACCATAGAGTTGTAATACACAACTAATTTCATACAGCCACTGACTTCATCTTTTCCTGGGTAAAGACCATCTATGAGAAGAGGTTAATGGATATAGTCCTACCTTTTTGCGTGCAAAACTATTTTTGTTTAGGTAGGGGTTCACTTATTCTAAGAAACTTAAGAAATCTGAAAATATACTTCTCGGTATTGATTTTGCTTTCAGTTATATAAATGTGATTTAATTACAGGAAAGTGGCATATACCGGGTGTGAGAATAAGGAAATTGTTCGTTGTCGAAAATAAATATGAACAACCAAATAAAACTTATTATTTTCATTCGTATTTGTTTGTTTAGAAATAATACAATATTTTGATGACTAACATGACAAATGTTTCGTACAATAGAAGGAATATATTACACATGACTTTTGTCGTGAAATATAAAAAAACTATATGAATTAACTGTTGCAATGCGGGTTTAGTTTTCAGAGCAATAAATTTGATTTTGTTATGCTGATGTGGGATTTTATTAAGAACATGTTGTTTTGTAGACAGGCTAAGGTTTTTTTTTCGTGGGCATTATTTAGCCCATGTTATTTTATGAGCAGGCTAAGAGGTGTATTTGGATTGCATTGAATCCATGTTGTTTTGTGAGCAAACTTAGGGTTGACTTCAGTGAGCCTATGTTGTTTTGATGGCATTTTACGTTTTTAATGGGGTTGCTTTTGCGTAGAATTTGAAATGTTTTCTCGTATATATTTGTGATGATAACTAAATATATTTATGTGAACAGGAAGACCGTAATAATAACTCAATTACAACAAAGCATAAAGGTGCAGGCTCTAACGAGTATTTCAAACTTGGACTGTTTCAAACAACACATCAAGAAATAATACGTCATTGTTCAAATATGTAGTAATTATTACAATTGGAAACGACAATAAGCGATTTAACAATTTAAAACTTTGAGAAATACTTCTTGTAATTGTTGCAAATTACAACGTTTCTCGAGCATAGTGTGCTAACGTACTAAGGCAAGCATCAATATATATATATATATATATATATATATATATATATATATATATATATATATATATATATATATATATATATATATATATATATATATATCGAGCTCCTCTGTGGGCAAGTTTTAGTGTATTTATGAAAAGAAAACTAGTGATTGGTTATAATAATTGTCTTCGTTTTTTATTAAGCCTTCCAAAATCGAACAGTGCTTACAGCATGTTTGTAAATTATAACACATTCAGTTTTGATGAAATAAGGAAAAATTATGTGTTCTGAATGATGACAAAAACACTTGATAGTAAAATTCTTCAAAATCTCTGTGGAACTGTGACAATCATTTAAATTTTGTTATCAGGATTAAATGGAACAAATTACTCTTTAAATGCGCTACGTAATTTAATTCTTAACGATGCTAAGTCCATTGTTGTAGATGACTCTGTATTCTGTATAGTTGTATATAAGATATCTATGATCTTTTATGTTTAAAATACTTTTATTTTATATCTGTATTTTAATTTAGATGCATGAACTATGTAGTCCTAATATATATATATATATATATATATATATATATATATATATATATATATATATATATATATTATATATATATATATACATATATATATATATATATATACATATACATATAAACATATACATACATATATATATATATATATATATATATATTTACACACACACACACACACACACACACACACACACACACACACACACAAACATTTAGAAAAAACCGTCCTGGCTTATTGTGGCAGAACATCAGTGAATTTTCTCAATGCTTTTATTGATAGGTTCTTTGTTTCAATTTTAAAGAAAGTGCGAAGTGTACAGTAATCGGGCTTTATAAATACCGAGACTTCAAATTACAAGGCAATTGTTCAGACGGTCAAAAACCATTATAGCGATACTCGTTTTGTCATTCATGCTTTATATTACTGTAGATTAATGTCTTTGATATCATTCAAAGTTTTCTTTTTTTACATGTTTTAACTTTAACAGTTATTTCAAAAACTTTTAAAATAAATTAACATCATTATGTTTTATATTTGTCTTGATGTACTTAATTATGTATTTATTTATAAAGTTTTATTTTCCTAAAGTTTTGTGTAATTCCATTTTAATTTACCAATCGTAAACTTTTGCTGGCACAACATTGTCAATTTATTTTTCTATTTTTTTTTCTTCTATTTTTCTTTTTCTATTTCTAGTTTTTGAAGCAGAACATCGTGTCGTATCTCGCAAAACTTCAAAGTTCTGATAATGTAACCAACATTTTTTGTCCAAAGAAAACATCGGATAGAGACGAACATTTGGTTTAATCACTCAATAGTTGAAATATGTTTGAAATTTCGCTTCTAATCTGTACATTAATTGTCAATATTGGTTTACATAACAACATAGCAAACTCTTCAAAAAGATTAGCTAGTCCTATGAAATCTTATCCACCCACAATAAAACCTTAGCTTTTCTCTATAAAATCTTATTCAGTTCATTAAAGCCTTTGCTATTCAGTATAAAAATATAACTAGACAGGCAAATCCATGATATAGGTTTGTTTTGCCCTCCTCTCCCACCCCCAATGGTTTGTGGAGAATAGCATAATGCACACTTCCTTACATTTTCGACTCCCTTTATTAAGAAAAGGGACTGAGCATTCTTTATAACCTTTGTCGTCCAAAGGTTTTGTTAAAATCGACAAATATATTTTGAAATAATCCATCTGAAGTTCTCCGTTAAATGACGAGGGCTGGAAACTTGGCCTATTTCATTAAT